GGGTAGAGTAGTACTTACAGTAAGTAAAGAAATCACCCCAGAAGTAGCAAAGCAATTCTTCAGAAAACGGGGTCAGAACCTGAGAAATGAATGCACTCTATACCTGCCATAAATTCACATCTGTAAGGAGGAGATACTATAGTTATTGTCTGAACAGAGGAGGAAACAAGGTGTAGCCTGGGCAGGCTGAGGAGAAGGTGCAACCTGGACGAGGAAAGGTGTTGGTAAAGAGATAAGTAGACACGGGATGGCTCTTGCCATCTCATAGACCCCGTCAGTGAGAGATACATTCATTCCATGAGAAGGTCTTCCCAAATCGCCTAGAAGTGGGTGATCTCATCTTATGAGAAAGCGTCTCATGGCGTTGTCTGAGCGATTGAAGCATCAAAACCGTTGTTTCAGAAGTGGATCGAACAGAGATAGTGTGTATTTGATAATGGAAATATGTATGCTCCTCGGTATGAGCCGAGAGAACATCTATTAGTTAGTGCTGCATAACGTGTCTTCATCACAACCTGATGGGCTGGAGGCCATTGATTCCAGTGTAAGGAAATTTTAGGTGCAGGACGTTGCAGAGGCTGCCGGCGCTGCGTCTACCAAAGAGAGGGTTGAGAGCTTGTAGTTGAGGATCACATAATCCCCTGGGGCAGGTTGACTTGCTGCCTATTCAGCAATGCGAGAGGCTTCCGTCTGTACCTGACAGTCTCTAAGTTAGCTTATCCTCAGCGTTTGAAAAAATAACAGGAAGAAGCAATAGTGAAGTCATATGTCTCTGGTATGGGGAAAATACACATTAATTTACACAGTGTACTTTGTTATAGCATAACAAGAAGCAAGTCATTACCAAAAGCGGTATTATCATCTAAGAATTGGACTTGGTATTTAGTGCAACCAAGAGTTACACGCTCGGGCTGAGGCCCATCTTAGTTCAGGAATACCGAACAGGTTTTTGATTCTCGATTGAGAAGGTTAGAAGTCTTAACAAGCATTGATTCACAGTCTTGTCATGTGCGCAGTTTTATGATGTTTACATTAGAATAATCAGAAGAAATTGAGCCAGTCTCATCGTACCTACGAGTTGGGTTACTCCATGGACACTGTGCTTCCTTGCAGATTGCCTGACAGTCTCCTAGACGTGTAATAAAGGAGGGATCCACGTGTTGCTGCTTGTAGAGCATAATGATTGTCCAACGAATTTCAGCTCCATGGCCAAGAAGAATGACTTACCCTTCGAGACAGCATTCTTCTAAGAATGGCTTCTAGAAGCTCACTGGTCTGACCAAACGCACAAGATCCACCCGCAGTGCGGATGATCCATATAATTTTTCCCTGAGTAGATGACCTCGTGGATGAATTGTCTGGCTGAATTTATTTTTAAATTTCAGCATTGATACGGCTGTGGCTTTAGCAGGAATGAGAACCTTCTAGCGGTTTCTTCACATGCCTTGCTTCAAATAATGAGCGTCCTCTTCCTCTGTCAGTTTCTCGAAGATCACAAATCTGTTGCATGGAGAGGGCAATGCAGATTTGACTAGTCGATAAGCTTTAAACCCCTATTGGGCAACCAAGCAACCAGGACCACTAGCGCTCACTTGCGAGGTGGTATTGTGTATGATCTGGCATTTGGTGAAGTGATATATTTTCGTGTGGCGTAATCTACATTCGTGTGACATTATCTATTTAATTGTGACTTCATCTATATTTGTGTGACTTCATCTATATTTGTGTGACTTCATTTATATTTGTGTGACGTAATCTATATTCGTCTGAAGCTATCTATTATGTGAAAAAACATAATGCTCCAGCAGGATGAGATTACATATTATTAATAGTTGACTTACATGGAGAAGAATACGATATTGTTGACTAATATCGATCTCTCACAGCAGCCTTCAGGATATTCTTCACAGAATATCCTTGTTAAGAGCAAATGTATATTCCTAGTGTATAGCAAAACCTTGATGCAGATAGCAAAGCCTTGATGCAGATAGTAGAGCCATGATGCAGATAGTAGAGCCATGATCCAGATAGGATAAAGCACACAGATTATGCATATGTCGTGTAAATAATGAATATATTATATTACTGTAAATTTATGTTTGACGCTGGGAAATACAATATGATTCAGAGAAATACACTTTCGTAATTGGAAATAAAGCTTGAAGGTAGTAATACAGTGTGGTCTGAAATATAGCTTGAAGGTAGTAATACAGTGTGGTCTGAAATATAGCTTGAAGGTAGTAATACAGTGTGGTCTGAAATATAGCTTGAAGGTAGTAATACAGTGTGGTCTGAAATATAGCTTGAAGGTAGTAATACAGTGTGGTCTGAAATATAGCTTGAAGGTAGTAATACAGTGTGGTCTGAAATATAGCTTGAAGGTAGTAATACAGTGTGGTCTGAAATATAGCTTGAAGATGGGAAATACACCTTGATGGTGAAGAAATACAGTATGATGGTGGGAAATAAAGCTGAATGGAGGGAAAAAAAGTTTGATGGTGAGAAATATACCTTTATGGTGGGAAATACAGCTTTATGGTAGAAATACAGCTTGATGGTGGGAAATAAAGCGTGATGGTGGGAAATAAAGCTTGATGGTGGCAAATATAGCTTGATGGTGGAAAATAAAACTTGGCGGGGATATATAGCTTGGTAGTATGAAATATAGCTTGATGGGAAATATAGCTTGATGGGGAAATTTAGCTTGATGGTGGCGAAATATAGCTTAATGGTGGGGAATATAGTTTTGCGGGGGAAGTATACCTTGATGGTATGAAATATACCTCGATGGTATGAAATATACCTCGATGGGAAATATCCCTTGATTGTGGAAAAATATCTTGGTGGTAGAAAATACAACTTGATAGTGGGGAAATATAGCCTAACGGTGGGAAATATAGCTTGGTGGGAAAAACACCTTGGTGGGGAAATATAGCTTGATGGAGAAATATAGTTTGATGGTGGGAAATACAACTTGGTGGGAAATATACCTTGATGGTGGGAAATATAGGTTAAAGGTAGGAAAATATACACTGATGGTGGGAAATACACCTTGAAGGTCTTTGTTTTGAGTAATTGTACTTATGTGCATCTGTACCTAAATAAAAAAAAATACATCTGCTTAATACTGATTACTTTCGCGTAACACTGAGTACCTCTGAGTAAGGAGTGCTGGAATATGTTTGGTGATGTCTCCAGAATCTGCATGTTTCCCCAGAATATTCTGGGGAAATTCATATTAATCTCGTCCAAGAAGGAAGAAAAAGAAAATTGTTTTGCAAAAGAGGTAAAGAAAATGGAATTTAAAGATAAACTCGGCTGAAAATCTTGTACAGAAATCTGCTTTGAAAAATTATTGCATTGTTTTCTCAGTTGCACAAAATAAATATTTTACCAGATACAGAGACTGTCTGAGAATAGTGAATAAGTGCAAATTGGATAGTACGCAATAGCATTTGGCTGATATAATGACAAGGAAATTAAAAAAAATAATTGCCGGAATAGACCAGTAGATTTCCTCCTGCGCTACCGGAGTTCTGCATTAAAAAAAAAAAAAGTATAGTTAACAAGAAATACTAAGACTTTAACACAGTTACAATAACTTTTTTGACTTCGAGTTTTAGGACTAGCTTGTCATGGGTTCCAACTCCACTCGTTCTGTAATTCATCTTGTCAAGTTTAAACGTTTCCATCAGTTGGAGGTGCGAGTTATTACCTGTAAGTACAGTTTTCTTGTCTTCCTCTAAATTCCTCCAAAGGCTTTACATTTTTTATATTTCTGCTATGTATGATAATCTTTGTTACTGTATTGTGTATACGTGAATAAATTTACTTACTAACCACAGTTAGCTATAACTAGGAAAAAGTTCATGGAGCATGTGGCACGTACATCTGTCTGTTCAATTGTTTATGAGCTATTCCCGGTTTTGGTTTCTAAAAGTCTCTTCTGGTCGACATCAAACGTTAATCATTCATATATCCTACTCAGGAGAATGTTGGCAGTGTCAGTGGAGTGTGTAAGCGCCATTTTGCCATTTTAAATTTTGAAATGGTACAGAAGTATTTTTCATTAATCATCTGGATCATACTTCTCCTGAATGACTTTTTTAATGGTTGAATTATGCTATGAATTGGATGAAACTGTTGTATATATATAAATTTTTGTAGATAATTTTTTTTTTAACTTTCTAATCTAGTTAATAAACCTGAAATTGTAGAAAAAGATATTTATGTAAAGCCAGGACATTTATTAGGTTTAACGTTCCGCCACGAGTTACTTCTTCAGTCCTAACGTTTTCTCTTAAAAAAATCTCCAAAACTGTGCGTAAGTGTCTTTTTCCATGTCTTGTCGGTATTACTGTATCATCTATCAAAATTGAAATTGTTGGATTCTTTGAATTAGCTGAAGAATTTGTCAGCTTTAAGCTTAGAGTGCTGATGTGTTTCTCTCAAAGGAAGCCTAATCTTTATTAAACAGATTGTGTTCGACGGAGGATAGAGCCTGCATCCTCCATTGCCTTCCATCGTAACTCGTAGTTTCGAGTACGGAGAAAGCTCGATAGCTATCTAGTAGAGTTTATTGTGCACAACCTTAAACAACAATGCTACACAGAATCACAGGTCTGCTCATTATGCCAGGTGGTCTCATGATGGATTGATGACACCAGTTGTCTACGCACCAGAACACCATGCAACGCCAGTAGATGTATGGTTATATAACGCGTTTAGCTGTTATTGCACCATACATTGACAAGATTACCTGATTACATAGATAGTGGGTTAAAGGATATTAGAAGTAAAAATCTGGATCATAGAAATATTATTGGAATGGTACAGAAGAATCCAAAATAAGACATAATAATCGATATTGAGAAGAATAGGACAGTATAGAGGATACGTCTCAGTACCCCTAAGAACATTTGGAACAGGACATTTAAACGGACAAAGAGCACATTCATTTCCTTTCTTTTATTAATTAAATAGGTTACACAGATTAACAGCAATCCATATATATAATATCCACTGAGAAACGTATTTTCTCAAGTCACAGGACCTGTTCTAAACGGTTAGAAAAAGCTTAGGACGGACTATTATACCTTCTAATTTCATAATTCTTGACTTTTCAAAACTCTCTTACATAGGGGATGGTGGCAGTGGTGGGTGTGATGCTGACCGCTGGCCACATTCTAAGAGAGCCAAGAGGAGGCGACAGATCCAATCTGCGCTATTCTGAGAGAAAAACTTCCCCTCACTCCTTCAGTTGCAACCTTGCAACATTGTATAGCTCCTGATGACACACTGAGAAGTGCGAAAGTATTTGAGCTAAAGATTTCCACCCCCTGTGGCTTGTCTTGAGTTGATGAATGATCAGTATTCGTTAACTCAGATGAACAGGGCACAATTATATAAATGTGCGGGATGACCCATGGTGTGGAATGATCGGTATACGTTAAATAGGATGAGCAAACCACTCTTCCGTGAGAGTGAGGAATAATCGGTACATGCTAACTAGAGTCAGCAAGACGCAATTCCCTTATTTTTACTGCCACAACCGACACCAACAAAAGCATCTAAGAATCACTTATAACTCTCTGACGATGAGTTGATCGAGTGGTATGACACTACCGTCCTTGTCCTTCTTCGGGCCTCCCATCTTTTGTATGATCTCAATGGTGTAGTATCCAGTCATGCCTACCACGAGGAAGATGATGAGAATGGTGATCTTGACATCAACGCAGATGGCGGTGCTGCAAGCGTAGGAGATGAAGAAGCCGGCAGACGCCCACAAGTTATGGTTACTGAAAGCTGCCTCACACTGCCCGGGGAAGATCACACCATACAGTGCTGTTGGATGCAAGTTTGAAGGAGTTTTATGTAAAAAGCTAAATTTGTGAGCCTCGAGCCTCAGTTCACTAAGGCCGGATTTTTGACTCTTCAGGCTGTAGAAAGAATGGAGGTTGTAATGTGATAAGCTCCATATATTGTAATAAGTCATTTTATTTTAATATACAAGACATTCCAAGTATTATACATGAATTTAAACATCAACATTAACTGGAATTAAACAAGACGTTATTAACTAGACAGTATAATAATCAGAATGGTATGTCAAGGAATTTGATAGATTAAATTAAAATACCAGACTTTTTTGCAAAGAATCTAAATGTGAGTCTCTTAAGGCTGCTTCTACTTTTCTTAATCAATATTACTTTCCAACCGTATTGTTTGTTTATTCGTTGAGGGTAAAACAAGAAGCTAGGAAGTTTGAATCTCTTCTTGCAGCGATCTCACCATTGATCTGCGTCTGCCAGATTGCGTCACTCACTCCCCAAAAGCCGACAATGACGAAGAACCAAGCGACGTCATCCGGGAGTGGCCGCCAGTACACGAGTGCCACGATGAGGGCCATTTTGATGAGGAAGCCCAGGGTAAAAACAGGCACCCGCCCCAGCACCTTCACCACAGAACTGAGTCCCATGGAGCACAGAGCGTCACACACACCAAAACACATGATCACGTATCCCACCATGTGCACCCCTAGACCACACGATACGTAACCCTGAAACAGTAGAATACTTGGCTGGCAACCAAAGGAGCTTGGATTCGATTCCCAGGTGAGTAGAGACGAATGGGTATATCCCCTCTCACCGGATGCCTCTATTTACCTAGCAGTTAATAGGTACCTGGATACACAAATAACTCGACAAATGGTCCGACTTGGACCATTTACAAAGTCACGGACCGAAACGTCGTCGTAAGCTTCTCTCTTTTATGTGCGGGTTATTTGTGTATCGTTCCAGTCACGGTATTGTGCCTTTTTTTTTTGTTATTTATAGGTACCTGGATATTAGCCGACTGATGTGGGTGACATCCAGGGCGGTAGTAGCGAGTCTTAGATAGGTATGAGCTTTGCAGCGAGCTGAGATACAATTTTTTTTTGGAATGCTCAGTATTTGGATATTAACATATCTGTATGAAATGCTAAACCCGTCGATCATTCAGGACAAGGTGAAGGCTCGATTCGCCGCCCTCTAACAGCAAGAGGAAAAACGCTACTCCGGTAGCCAGGATTCTCAAAAAGACACTCGTCAACAGCGCATACCTAAACAAGTAAGCTACATATACGTACATTGTTTTATCTGTCTCACCCTGGGTAGGCAGCGTATTTGTCTGGCAAAATGGAATAAGACGAGTGCCTGCCAATCATTTCCCTGGATGAGCCACACAGGCTTAACGCTTAAGAAAAAATCTACTTACGTGCTGCTAGACGTCATTCACCTTCATTTACAGCATCAAAACCACTCTCTAGTGAGGAGACTGCAAAGTATCAGTCTACCGGTGACCCGGTGGTCTGGTGGCTAAAGCTCCCGCTTCACACACGGAGGGCCCGGGTTCGATTCCCGGCGGGTGGAAACATTTGACACGTTTCCTTACACCTGTTGTCCTGTTCACCTAGCAGCAAATAGGTACCTGGGTGTTAGTCGACTGGTGTGGGTCGCATCCTGGGGGACAAGATTAAGGACCCCAATGGAAATAAGTTAGACAGTCCTCGATGACGCACTGACTTTCTTGGGTTATCCTGGGTGGCTAACCCTCCGGGGTTAAAAATCCGAACGAAATCTTATCTTATCTTATCTTACCTCATTTGCAGCATCACAACCACTCTCTAGTGAGGAGACTGCAAAGTATCAGTCTACCTCATTTACAGCATCACAGCCATGCTCTAGCCAGGAGACTGCAAAGTATCAGTCTACCTCATTTACAGCATCACAGCCATGCTCTAGCCAGGAGACTGCAAAGTATCAGTCTACCTCATTTACAGCATCACAGCCATGCTCTAGCCAGGAGACTGCAAAGTATCAGTCTACCTCATTTACAGCATCACAGCCATGCTCTAGCCAGGAGACTGCAAAGTATCAGTCTACCTCATTTACAGCATCACAGCCATGCTCTAGCCAGGAGACTGCCAAAGTATCAGTCTACCTCATTTACAGCATCACAGCCATGCTCTAGCCAGGAGACTGCAAAGTATCAGTCTACCTCATTTACAGCATCACAGCCATGCTCTAGCCAGGAGACTGCAAAGTATCAGTCTACCTCATTTACAGCATCACAGCCACTCTCTAGTGAGGAGACTGGAGACTGCAAAGTATCAATCTACCTCATTTACAGCATCACAACCACTCTCTAGTGAGGAGACTGCAAAGTATCAGTCTACCTCATTTACAGCATCACAGCCATGCTCTAGCCAGGAGACTGCAAAGTATCAATCTACCTCATTTACAGCATCACAACCACTCTCTAGTGAGGAGACTGCAAAGTATCAGTCTACCTCATTTACAGCATCACAGCCATGCTCTAGCCAGGAGACTGCAAAGTATCAATCTACCTCATTTACAGCATCACAGCCACTCTCTAGTGAGGAGACTGCAAAGTATCAATCTACCTCATTTACAGCATCACAACCACTCTCTAGTGAGGAGACTGCAAAGTATCAGTCTACCTCATTTACAGCATCACAACCACTCTCTAGTGAGGAGACTGCTAAGTATCATTCTACCTCATTTACAGCATCACAGCCATGCTCTAGCCAGGAGACTGCAAAGTATCAATCTACCTCATTTACAGCATCACAGCCACTCTCTAGTGAGGAGACTGCAAAGTATCAATCTACCTCATTTACAGCATCACAACCACTCTCTAGTGAGGAGACTGCAAAGTATCAGTCTACCTCATTTACAGCATCACAACCACTCTCTAGTGAGGAGACTGCTAAGTATCATTCTACCTCATTTACAGCATCACAGCCATGCTCTAGCCAGGAAACTTCATGTGTAAATTTACCCGCAGATACGAAATGCTTATTGTCTTGCACTTATTACAATGGTGAAATAATGCACAAAACAGAATAAAGTAAAGAAAAACATACAAATAATGAATTTAAGTAAAAGTCTCAATAAAATAAAGAAATAAAGAAAATTATTTGAATCTAATAAAGGTTTATAAATGTAAGAAGGAAAAAAAAAAAGATAATAGTACAAAAGAACGCAGGATATATATACACAATGAAGTATATGTCTTTCATTGTGTATACACTGGGTGTTACTTTTAATCTTTATTTTATGGATTAAGGTATTTGACTTGTAATGGCCAGGTTACCGCATGGCCCATAAAAAAACAGAAAGAGAATAAAACAAAGATAAGGCATAAGCATAAACGACAATAACAGGTAAGTTGCAAGGAATGTCATGTACAGACCACCAGTGAGATAGAGGCTGCTGTCTCACTGGTGGCTTCTGTCTCACTCGACAAGTGAGACAAAGGCTGCTGTCTCACTGGTAAAATTGAAAAAAAAATGAAGTGGAAAAAAGTAATAAATGTACACTTATATGAGTAAAGATATTAAAGTTTAAAAAACATTTACGCAAGTAATGCCAGCAATAAAAATATATTAGTTGAATTGGATGGGGGAAAGAGAGAGGATGTAAACAATCAGCCAACATGCGGGGAAGCCTCACGAAAGTAGGACAAGCATCTGGTAACTGTAATGGTATAATACTATGTCGACAGGTTGATGCATGCAACACCTAGGTGTCTTTATTCTGAAGACGTTCCGCTGACCAGTAGCTTCATTAATTCAGTTCAGAAGTATGCGAGGGAAAATGAAACTGAAAACAGTAGAAGACAGGGTAATCAGTCCTTCAACCTTGATGAGGGTGTTCACCACCGTAGTTTTGTACACCGTCATCTAGGCTAAAGGACTGATTACTTTTTCTTCTACTGTCTCTAATTTCAACACCTTAACATACCTAAGTATTGAATTGATAAAAGACACTGGTTGACGAAATGTTTTCGGAATAAAGATTCCCCAGGTGTTTCATTCATCAACAAGCTTTTACTAGGAAACTTTTGACTCTGTGGAACTTAATCAAGTTATTAACTGATAAAGCAGTAAGTTATTTGGATCTACCACGCGAGGAATAGAGAAGAAATCATAATTTATAATGAACTTCAGGTCAATATTATACAAGCATTTGAGAACAGACGAGTTATAAGGAATGTTAGAGAATTCAGGACACAAAAGAATGTATTAGCGTGTACAACAATAGATGCTTGATTCTCTATCTTTGTAGGAGGAAAATAAGTTGTACTACGACTTTCACTCCATATTTATCTATCTCTTGTTAAGTCAAGGGAGACAAGTGCTCAAGTGCCAAGGACGGAGTGATCATGCAAGTAACTAAGGCTAGTTTTACTACTCCTGCTGCTACTGTTATTACTACTACTGCTACTACTACTACTACTACTACTATTACTACTACTACTACTACTACTACTACTACTACTACTACTACTACTAATAATAATAATAATAATAATAATAATAATAATAATAATAATTAATTCATTTCTAAAAAATTTTTACAGAAGAACTTTATAGAATGCACAATCATTTTTTTTCTCTGGGTAGCACAAGGTCTGCCTCAGACAGGTGTCAGGAACAGCTGTGTCACGCCTACAGTACGATGTCATGCTGATACCTTACTGTTTTATACTGTTTAATACTATAAGGAAGGATATCACCACAAATATAAACAAAAGCCAGAACATGTAATAGTAAAAACGACAGTGTACACACTCAACAACTAACTAGAAGTTAGACGAAAGCTAGCAAAATAAGACGAAAACGTTTAAATATTTGATGAATACAGTTAGACATTTGTTCAAATATGATATTCCATCGAAGGTTATGAAGTGAATCCAAAATCTGAAATTTGGAGTTCTGTACTCACTAAATGGTGAATACATGGAAATAAACTCAGGCACGCACGCGCGCACACACACACACACACACATGGGGCCAGGAGCTGTGAATCGACCCCTGCAACCACAAACAGGTGAGCACACACACGCGAGGCGGAGCCAGGAGCTATGAATCAACCCCTGCAACCACAACTAGGTGAGTACACACACAGTGTACATTATTATTATTATTAAAGATTAGTCGGTATTCTCCCGGCCCGGGCCTTTTCCAAGTGGTGGCCCGGCCTTGGCTCCCTCTTTAGGGAGTGTCTGAGACCTAAGTCTCCCATGAGAGGAGGCACAAGGACCTCCTCATCTTTGGGACAAACTGTCCCCAGGCCTAGCCACAAGCTAGGCCGCTCTGGTCTGCCACCCCCGCCCCAAGGGGGCAAATGGGAATGACAGTCTTATGAGCTAAAGGCTCGGGCTCAGGCACCTACCCTACCCTAGAAGCGCTGGGCATGGTGTCGATCCAGCGTACATGGCAGAAGGGCATAGAAGCCAGAGTTCATCCTCCACAAACTCAACTCAGCAATTACATATATAACAATCCCACCTCTATCCCCATTTGCGTAAATACACAAACGTACAACCAGATATCCAATTTAATCCTAATTATACACATAAGCAATATCCATTATACATGCGCAAGCACGGATAATGCCTTAAAGACAAAACAAAAACAATTAGTCTGCTTTTGTAATCCCAGAAATGGAAGTCACATAGAGTACTCACTGCAGTGTAATCTGCGGTGAGAAAACTGTATTCAAAACCTGACCAGATGCTGAGGGGCACAATGAGCAGCTGGTATGGATGACGCAGATGGTTGAAGGTGGCAACTAGCAGCTGTAAACTGCTTTTACCCTCTCCACCGCCACCTACCACTTCCTTAAAGCTGGAAGAGAGCCAAAGTTATTATATATCGCCCCTATAATAATATTGCAAGAATTAGTTTTGAAAATGAAGCCTACAACAGGCACTGTTTACGTCTTTCAACTTCACGTCTGGTAAGTCTTCAGAAAATTGGAAAATTGATGCCCTAACCCCTTCACTTATTCAACCCAAACTGAAATACTAATAAAGCTACTGAACCCATAGAGGAATACCTTGTTGAATATACCTAGCTCTGGGTGGCAGAGTTCATCACCCGATGAACAAAATCCATCCTCTGTGAAGGAAAATGACCGGGATACATAGCCTGGTCCTCACTATTCTAATATCACATAGAAGAGGGTAGCAGCCCAGTTGTAATATGTATAAATTTACCTAATAAATAAAATTTTATGACAAGTCACTAGATTAACTCACGAACTAATAGGATCGACGAAGATGATGACGACAACAGAGGAGAGGAGGGAGCAGAGGAGGAAGATAGAAGCTAAGGTGTAAATCTGCCAGAGAGGCGGGCCTTCCCTCCCGCTGGAGTCGCTGCTGTTGAGCTCTCTGGTGGGCTCAGAGATGCAGAAGTTGTACCCACAGGACAGTAGCTCCGCCTCCGTCCGGTTGACTTCCTCTACACCCACAGACAACACTGTTAGGTAAGAAATAATGAGAGAGAGAGAGAGAGAGAGAGAGAGAGAGAGAGAGAGAGAGAGAGAGAGAGAGAGAGAGAGAGAGAGAGAGAGAGAGAGAGAGAGAGAGAGAGAGAGAGAGAGAGAGAGAGAGAGAATATTGACTATATTGTTATCATATATAAAATATAAATATGTGCTGGTTATGTATAAATAGAGTGGCTCTGTACCTGAGGAAGCAATGAGACTACCCCACACGTGGTTAAATTGGAAGAACATGGAGAAAATGCCGAAGAACTTTGTTATGATAACATCACTGTTCTCTCCCACAAGACTGGCGTATCTCAGCCCAACCTACAACAAGGAAGAGACAATGATGCATCACCGCGATACTGGCGCATTTCAAGGCAGATCCAATGATATGTCTAAATCAAACTTTGATTATTCTTCAAGCAGTAATAAAGCTCCATGTTTATCACTGTTTCGGAGAAAAATTAAAGACTATTGTCTAGATTGTATTTCACTAGAAAAAAAAAACATAAAATCAGATTATTACAAATATAGAAAATACAATCTTCGTCTTTAAAAGGAAAAAAAAGAAAAGTAAACATTTAATGCAGCAGTCAGGACCCCATGTTTAGTGCTACATAAAACAGTAAATCATTTGTTACCGCAAAACAAAACAAAGCAAAAGAAAGAGGAAACTGCAAATATTTTAAATTGATATAGTTGAATATATAATGTCATTAATTCCAGGTGTAAATTTATCATTAAGAAAACCCACCTTTTGCATGTATTAAAATAATTCTGAAGACAGCAACCATAAACTGTAGCCAAATAATGTAAAATTTATAGATGGGGAGCAGAATTGATTGTATTTGAAAAAAAATCTATAAGGCATATACAATAGAAAATTTAAACCCAGAATTTGCCTGCCCTGGCACACCTTGGTTAAGTAAATGGATCTGGAGGCCCAGAGCGGTGCAGCTCCCAAGCCCAGGATGACGGCTGTAGGTACGAGAGTGTAGATCTCTGGGTAGAACTGAGCTGCGATGTAGGAAGAGTAGCAGAACATGGAGAGTGCTATTGTGTACTTCTCCTTTAACAACGACAGCAGCCACGACGGCAAGAAGCAGCAGGAGAAGACGAAAGCACCATAAAGAACAGTCAGTGATGCTGTTCCATCTATCCTGAAAAATCAGCAGATTATGACAGGGTGTGCGTGTGTGTGTACTTACCTAGTTGTAACCACCAGGTGAAGGGGTAGAATCTCAGCTCCTGGCCCTACCTCTTAAACTACAATTGCCAGCTCTGTTGGTTCCTGGCCTCGTGAGCCCTATCATACCTATTCTTGAAACTGTGTATCGAGTTTGTATCTACCACTTCTTATTGTAATTCGTTAAGCTTATTTGACGCCCTCATACTGAAAAAGTATTTCCTAACATACCAGTGGCTCATCCGTGTCTTTACCTTCCATCTGTCAAATACTCCTAGTATATTGTATGTCGTAATCATGTCTCCCCGAGGATCATCTTTAGCCTTTCCTCGTAAGTCACCTCAGCTCTGGGACAAGTCAGATTTCAAACCTCTGGATTTTTTCGTGATTTCTTACATGGGACGTCCATGATGGGGCTGCATACTCTATGTGTACTCGTAATATGTAGTTGCAGAGGTCGAGACTCAGCTCCTGGCCCTTCCTCTTCGCTGGCAGGTACTGGGTTCACTTTCTCCTGTTTTCAAGAGCCTTATTGTACCTCGTTTATAAAACTATGTATGAATCCTCCCTCTACTACTCAACTGTCCAGGTTATTCCTCTTTCTGAGCACTCTAAGGCTGAAGAACTACTTCCTAACATCCCTGTAAACTATCTGTGCTTTCATCTTCTAGCTGTGCCCTCGTGTACCCGTTTCCCGTCTCTCGAACAATCTGCCCTTGTTAGTACTATGTGTCTGTGTTTTAGTTACCGTTTGCCAAAGAAACTTATCAATAAACACTAAACCCTTCGCGCGAAAGTTTTATTGTCTAATTTTTCAACTTATCGGTGTTCTGAACCATTTACATCACGAACCGTGATGACAATATCCGCACACTTCTGGCAAGGTAGTTACTCAAAGAATGATGGTCAATGTGTTTTCTTTTTCTTGGGGGGGGGAGAGGGAGGGATCACCCTACCTTGGTAGATAAAGGCCAGTGTGGCAAAAAAAAAAATATACATTTACAATAAGACGTACTTATCATTCTTCAAATAAAAGCATGTCTGAAGCTCGTGATGATGGATAACAATGCTTCACTCACTTATTAATGGATGACTGGAGATTAGACATTGAATTAAAGCTGGTAAAGAGCAAGCTGAAGGCGATGGAGATGACTACTATGTTCTTCATGATCAAAAACTTCTCTTGTTTCTCCGCCGATGTGAGGTCCTTCCCAGAGGTCTTGTCAGCCTCCCCGACTGTCTCTTTTTTAACGTTTCTGCCTGAAGAAAATTGACTGTTTAGTTTTAGAACTGAGGAAGATGAGACAGTTACAGAGATATTACGTATGACTTACCACTTGACCTCAAAAAAAAAAAACCTGAACTACGACTATTACTGCGACATTTTTCAAGTCATCTTGACTTGAAGAGGCTCTATTTAGACCGAAATATCGCCCAAGTAAAGACTTATTCTGTATACTCGTGTCTTTGTCCACATACCCATCGATATTTACTAATCAATGTTTACTAATCTGGACCACGTCTATAGTCACTCCTCTGACTCTATAAAGCGCCAATGAGTAGTGTGGCTTTATGGAGGTTAATATTCCATTAGTCCATTACATTATTATTATTATTATTATTATTATTATTATTATTATTATTATTATTATTATTATTATTATTATTATTATTATGTACGAGAATCGCTAACCATTATGGATCATTTAGCAATAATTAACTATTAGTTTGCATACATAAGATAAAATAATTAAAGCAAGTTCCACCAACCTTAATGTTCAAACTAGACACATTAAAACTTAATTTCTTTTAAAGAGACCACACTTATAAAAAGCAACAAAGTGAAACGTAAATATAAATATTTATCACCCGACATATTCAGCGAAAAACAAAGGGACAATGAGCCACATTCCACCTCCGGGGAATAAACGATTCTGTGTAGTACGTAGGAGAAAAAAATTGGTAGAAGTTTGTCCGCAGACATTAACAAACACAAATATGTTTTCAACAAGAACTACCTGAATAATGCATGCGTTGTTGACGGGAATACAGAGGGACACGTTATAGGTTGAGCCGACGTGGAGATATTTATCACGGAGCCAAATCTCAGTACACGCCAATATTACTTTAACAAACACAGTTACTCAAAAAATAAGAAATTACAATGTCGTCACCGTGGAAGTGCACACAATCATGGAACATACGTCGCCCTGCTCACCACCAGATATGGTCGTCAGGTGATGTGCCACTGAACATAAAACTCACTGCCACCCTGAGGCACTCCTGATCATATAAGAATATGTTTCTTACCCTTATTTACATTAGAGAAGTATCATGGTCCTGGGACCAAACCGTTTCCTGTAAAAAGAATATCCTAATGTTTACATTTTTTGTTTTTTTCCTTTA